CAGGCACATGCAACCCATCCTTTAATAGAGGGGCAGTGGAGAACGTCAGTAGCTTCATGCTACAGTGGTCTTGTGAATTAAACTGTTGCATGTTTTGGTGATTTGTTTTGTTTCTTTTGCATTCAGTATCCAAAATAACCCAGCAGCTGTGTGTGTAGGTAGGCAAATCTGGGTAAATAATGAAAGACTTTGGGGAATGACAGCACCGATCTGGTAAAGCTCAAAGACATGTAGATCTTTGAGAAGCTGCTGACAAGCTCTCAAAAACTGGAGGGGTTTTAAGCAGACAGTGAATTGCAAAATATAAAGACAATGACTACATAATACTCATTAGGTCTAATTTAGTCTCTCAACCTTGAAATGAGTGGAAGGTGTTCTTGTTTGTTATAGTACTGGCATTATTTATTGCTTGTCAAGTGATAAGACACAGGCCCCACTGTGATGCTGTATAAATAAGTACTACAAGGGCTATGTTTAATACTGAGAACTTCATTTTAAAGCAGGTTTTAAAAGGCCCAATAATTAACTGATTAATAAATCTTATAAAGTCCTAGACTGTCCATAAAGTTGTCAATTGATTATTGTTATACACAGGAACCTATAACTTCCACAGATATGCTCATATGCATTTACAGTATACAGATGCACTTGTGAGATCTTCTGATAATAAATATTAGCTGTTAAACCTCAGTAATTAAATTTTCAGGGATGGGAAAGAATTACCTCTTTTCTTCATGCGTAATATTAAAGAACTTAAGGGCTGGGCATTTAGCCATGTGACATTAGAAGACTCTTGGAAGTGATTGATAGTTGTATTTGGCCAGGCCTTGAGACATCATGAGTATAAGCAACTGAACTCAGTCTTTATGAAAACAAATGTTTGATGCCTTCTGAAATCAACTGAAGTACCTTGCTTGCTTCTGAATGTTTTTGTAGGTCTTCCAAGATTACAGTCTCTACCTATTTTGTCAAGGTGTAATGTATTACAGTGATATGGTAATTTGTACTACTGAAGTTTCGATACTTGAGAAACGCATTTTTAATTAATTTTGAATTTTCAGAACTTAAGTTATCAGCAAATTCGACTGTATCCAGATTTTAGTTTGCCAGAGAGTAAGAGATGGGTGTGTTTGCTTGTGGCAGTAACCTGGTGTTCCATTAGAGAAAAAAAAACCTTTGCATGCTGTCCACATGCACCACAAAATAAAACCTATTCTGATAGGGAGCTTAGAGTCTCATATCAAGACTAAGTACTGGTTATTTTCCATTGGTACTGTCCCTGAAATCATACACGTTGCAAGAATGATTTGTGGGTTTTTTTTCCTCTGTTTTCCTATGTGTAGTAGCAATTTATATACTTGCTTTATCCCAAATCTGTTTTCATATTCACAGGCTAATAGAATTACCAATGACTATATTGATAATCTTGGGACTATTTTTATATGTTGAATCTTTTAAAAAGTCTACACTGCTTAATACTACAAGGATCATACAAATGTAAAATTATATTAAGAAATACAATAAGGTGAGATTGGTGCATAAGTAATTTTTATTTATGTCGCTGAAATTATGCACAGACACTGATAGGACACAATACTCATTAGATTTATGTGTAACAAGAGTGCTAGCTCAGTAATAAAATTATAAGCTTGAGATACATGATACTGCTTCACTGTTTTCTCTATGTATTTACTTATCTGGTTTCACTGTTACAAAGCTTATTAGAAACTGAGAAATACTAAGTGTATAACACATGCAGCCTGATACCCTGATTGTATTTCCACCTTTTACTTACCATCTTTAATGGCATTGTTTACTACTGTCATTGTTATGGTTTGATTCCTTTTGCTTCTCACATTCTTCCCATTTGTCTTTTGGTTTGGTTCATTATAAGACTACACAATAACATGGATAATGCTATTCCCAAGGTGAACTGCTGCAACAGCTAGTAGGACATGGTATCTCCAAGATCCTGTAGTGTGGCTGTGCCTTACAACTCATGATAGTATTGTGCTGAGGCTTCATTATGTTTTTGTGAGAGACTTGTTTCTTTTCCCAGTTTCATTAGTTGCTCTCTCTCCTGAGATAGAACATTGCATCTTCATCCAGAGCAGATGACATATACTCACTGTAAGCAGTAAACAGCAGTGATTAAATGCTTGCTTTGTCTTTTTCTTGTTTAACTCAAATGTATAAAGATACAATGTAGTGATTTTAGTTGCCTGCTGATAAGCCATCTATATCCCTACTAATATAAAAAGGAGGAGTTTTTAATATAACCCTCCTGTCCAGGAGTTTGACTGTTAATAGGTTTGTCTATTAATTGATACTGAGTGGTATCTTACCATGTTGAGAAGTGTGGCTTTATTCTGGGATGTAATACAACTGGTCTCTGAGCCTTGGTCTTCTTGACCACCATTCTTCTGCTGCAAGGAGGGCTGTACAATGCTTTAGGTCTTTCATTTTGAAAGCTTGTAGTGGTTTAAAAATTATTCTGTATGCTTAAAATAGCATAGATTGTTCAATGTGTTTGTTTCTGGGACTAGAAGAATATTTTTAATGGAGTAACTTCCAGAAGGAAGGTGATGCAGTCTCACCCCTCTGCACAGTGCAGCCCAAAGAAACTCACTCAGGAGCCTATGCATCAAACCCACAGCTTCTTTTTGTACACTAGCATTGCTTTCCAGATGTTATCCTGCCTTGCTGGAAAGGCTTTAATGACTACAGAATTTACTGTTCGCACAAGGTAGTTGCTGCAAATATTATTTTCCTTGATAGTTATGTGAATGCATTTACTTACAAATTTCTATTTGACTGATTTCAGCTTCCAACAAATTCTCAGATTCTCTGTATATTTTCTTTTACATCAAAGACTCACAATGAGAGACTTCATGTAGATGCTTGCAGGCTGGGGCAAAACAATTTCTTTGCTGCTTCTTGGTTAAAGCAAATAAACTGAGCTTATCAAGCCTCTGATGAAATACATTTTTCTAGCCCTCAGATCACATGCATAACCATTTTCTAAACCATATCCCATTTTTAGTCATCTTAAGGAATCAAAGAGCAAGAACTAGAAACAGGATTGTAGTAAATGTCTTGCTGATGCTCTGATCAAGAATAGCCGTGTCTTCCAGTTCCTGCCTGGTTACATTTCTGTATATGGATGCTAAGGGTTGTTTGACCTTTTAACTGCATTGTTGCTCAGGAACTTCATGTCTTTTTAAATACCATTGCTCTCCATGATGTAACTTCCCATCTTTCTAGTGTGATATGTATTCCTTACACCTAAGTGATTGATTGTATATTCTATTGTGTTGAAACAGGCTTTGTTCTCATGAGCCCTATTCAAGGGTAATGCAGAGCAGCAAGCATCACTGGCCAGTTCCATTGCTAATCACTCCTTTGAATTAAGACTTATTTTTTAACAGTGCATCCATCCACTGTTACATCTTTGTCCCAGCAAAATTTAGATCAGTCTGTGTTTTAGCTTCAAATACCTGAATCATAAAGACATTTCCTCCAAGTTAGGGGGTCAGCATGTCTGAGAGCAGATTATGTTCTTACCAGTATTTGTTTTGCTCACACCAGCAACAAGAAAATCAAAGATATAGACTAGGGATGTAAAATAGTAAAGGGTGAAGACAAATTACCTTGATTATGAATCTTGATCTGCCTTTCCTAGTCAAAGTTTGTACCTAAGGAATTTTGTGGAATGCTTATTCTACCAGGTCAAATTGTAGCAGCAGCCATGAGCAGACTTCACTATAGCAGTTGATACAGTTGGGCTACATTTTTGTCACTACCATCCCCACCTCCCAAAGGAAAACCAAGCAACCAAACAAGAAACCCAAACCAAAAATGCCCACCCTAATGTTTGTTAGTGCCAAATGGAACTGCCATTTTAGCACTTTCCTGTAGATATGCACCACACAGTCTTGACAATAGAGTTCTAATTATTCCAAATGAAGAATCTCTTGCTCAGCTACAAATTCTTCTCTAACATTGTATATTCAGTTGCTCTTGTCTCTTTCTGAAGTAGTTTGAATTCCTCAGGAGTCTGCAGGTCACATTCACAAACCTGTTTTTAGGATTTTTAACATTAAGCTGTTTTATGCATGTATGTACATATACGTGCTTCCAGTGGATTAATTGCTAGCCATATCAAGTGAATTAAAATTGTGTTGGTACTGGACTTCATGAAAATATTTAAAGCAGAAAAATAAGTTTTTTATTAATATAAAAGAAACAAATTATATCATCTTCACAATTTAAATGAAATGGGTGGAGTGAAGGATGGTATTAAAAGCCATGCTGGCAGCAAGTGGTAGCTTGTGTCATTGCCAAATCTGTCTTCTAACCTCTGTGTGACCCAATTCTGCTGAATTCCAGTGGTCTGTGCAAGTACATCTTCTCTAGGTACAAGAATAGTAGCAGCAGTTACACTACCTAGAACAAGAATGTACAGGGCTATCAGCTGTCTTGCCTAGGGGCATGAGATGATTGCCAGCTGGGGTTAAGAAAAAATGTTTCCTTCCTGTGAGGCATTACATAATTATCTGTGTATGTTAAGTGTGCTGGGGTTTTTGTCTGAAATTTATTATATAAGCCAGTGCTATAAGAAGATGCCAGACTGAGGAAACAACCTGGGCATATGTATTATGGCAATTCTTTTTTCTCCTGTTTCTAATAGTGTCCAAAATAAAATGTGATTCAGTTTATGTTTCACCTTGTTAGCTTTGCGGTGCTTTGCTTTAACACTGTCCTGCCAGCTTTGTGACGTAAATTTGACTGCAGCTGAGGAATATTGTTAATCTTCTCATCTCCTTGTGGGGAATCAAGCTTGAGCCAAATGAAATGTTTTGTGCTATGGTGTTTTCTTTATTACTGCACACACAAAGCAAGTAAAAATGCTGCCTGCCAGGATCTTGCTGGAGTGATACTGATTCTCTACTTTTATGAGATGCCAGTAAAATAGGAGTTATTTTTTTTTCATCTTGCAGCTTGCTCTTCACCAAAGTAAAACTGGAATGGATACATAAAGGACCTGAAGAGGCTCTGGTGACATGCAGACATATGTTGCAGATGTGGCAGATGGTATACAATGTTTTACAGCACAGGTAGGCTTTCTGCACTGTAGCAACTTCAGATTTGTAATTGGTAGTGTGGTTATCTTTTTTAATTTTCTAGATCCTTGAGTTATTTTGAAAGAAGGATGATAAACAGTAC